CTTGTTTCCAGTCTGGGGAAGTAGTGAGTTCTTGAAATCCCGTTAATGATGGCTGTGAGGTAGACTGTGGCTTTCAGCGGGAAGTGCTTAATCGCTTGGATTGAGATTTTGTCCCTCCCGGGGGCTTTCTTGGCAGATAGGTACTTGATGATGCCTCTCACATCGTCCGGAGATGAGGACTCAAGGTAACCTATTTCGGGTTCGTTCTCGAAGTCCTCTTGTTAAAACACTGATATTCTAGGGAAGTGGCGAAGGCCTCGGCTTTCTCCTCAGTGGTGTTTACCAGACCATTTGCTCCGTGCAAATTTGCGAAATACGAAATTTTGTTTAAAATTCTTTTGATTTTCGTGATCCACATGAAAACGGCGTTTTTGAATTCTGTGGGAATTGGGATAGCTCGTTTAGTTTGGGATAAGAAAACTAAATGACTTCCGTCGAGAGTAAAAAAAAAAGGAGGCGTAGAGCGAAAGTCGTCCGGACTTGGAAGTAATTAGGGTTTCTTTTTAATGAGACTGAATATAGTCGTTGAAATTGCGATACACTTAAATCAACGGCGAATCAAACCCATAATAAGAAAATGAAGAAAATCGAATTAGACACTCCAGCTTTGACTAGGGCGTCTTTTTAAGGAGATTAGATAGAGTCGTTGAAATTGCGATACACTTAAATCAGTTATCAATCCAATCTCAAAAAAAAATTACCAATGGTTTCCAAAAGGAATAAAGTGAAAATAATTCTGAATACGAACCAATACTTTCCGGCTATTAAACAAGCTGTTTAACAGATGTGTAAACAAACTAGAAAACGATAAAAGAATAACTCTTACCTTGAGTTACGGGGTGGGTGGCTGGCACTACGGTCACTAACAAGATTCTCTAACTAAACGTCAATTGTAGGCGACGGCTGCAGTAAGAGAAGAGAGAGCCTTAGTGGTCAGGAGTCTGGACAAGGAATTTGTTTCGCCCGTAGTATTTATGTCTTCCCAGTAGACGAGCTCGATGTCCGCGCACTTCCAGTTTTTACTGTTTACAAGTGACGAAAGAAGAAACGTCTTTCTGAAACCTTGGCGAATAAACCTAGATAATTTACATGAAATCTAATCTTCAAATCCGAATTTGGATTTCGGTAAATATGGAAATATTTTAAACTACGAGGGCTCTCGTAATTGTTTAAAAACTGATATTCCTGGGAAACAAAATACGGGAGCTCTTCTAAACGAGAATAATTTAAAATGTACATTTTTAAAACTATTTAAAAATAAAATTTAGTGACTTCGTCAGTTTTATCACGTTTTTCTCGATGTATAAGTGAAATTTTCAATGTTTGCGGTGCATCGAATCAACTAATTAAAAATAAAGTAAAAAAGTTTATTTTTTACTAAATTTCTATACAAAAAGCTAAAGCGAGATAAAAAATAAATTATAATACCAAATATTTTTGTTTTTCAAAACTGTTAAAACAGAATTTTACTTCAGGTGCATTTCCATAGATCCGTCATTCGATATCCAATTCGGAATCATCATATTCATATTTTTCGGACGAAGAAAATTGCTATTCTCCACATATCCGAAATCTGTAATACCTATCGTATATTTTCTAGTAACTTTGATGACAATTGACAGTAAAAAATGTCAATAGTCTTAAATTCCGCATTTCCAGACTTTCTCCATTTAGTTTTTTTTTTAGTGTTTGTTGGTGGAAATTATTAGAGAAATATTATATTGTGGTAATTGTGTTTGTTAAAAAAAATGGATAACGAATTTGTGTTGGACAAATCATTTGATTTATTTTGAAGGAACAAATAATGGTGAAGATGAGGAGTCGCAAGTAAGTAAAATAGCAGACCAATAAAAAAGATATATTTTAATGAATCCATGTATTATAGTTTTGTAATTTATGCTGTTTTATTTTTATTAAAGAAGTTTCTGTAGAAGAATTTATAATTGGCCTAGTTTTTTTTTTTTTTTTTTTGTTAGAGTATTGTTGCTAGTCATTACTGACTAACCTACAATTTTAATCTAAAAATCTTACAAACTAATTACTTATCTAAAAAGTCCCCATTGGGCTGTCTTAATTGTTTCTATAGGAAAGCATCACAAGTTGGCGTGAAGATTTATTACACTGTTTTACACTAGCACTAACATTAACGTTCACTGCACTAGCTCAAATGACTTCTTCCTTTTGAGCCTTCTGTTGGCCTAGTGATAACTAAACATCCACTATGGGATTCTCGTTTGCCATTAAAAGACCGAAGTAAAACGATTAGGGAGAATCTGTGGCTCGAAATTTACGAAGCATTTGGAGAGCAAGAGGAGTACTCAATTGCTGTATTAATGAAGAAATTGAGGAATTTAAGAAACAGTTATGTCCGAGTTAAGGGTGAACTGGAAAGCTGAAAAAAAAAAAGAAACAGAAATAGGATTTTTATGATCTGATGTCATTTTTTGTGTGACACCGTAAAGTATCGCCCAACAGTGACGAATGTGCAAACGTCACAAATAAATTCCTCAAGTACAATTGAAAAGAGCCCTGTAGTGGAAGCTACAGATTTGATTAATATATTACCTTTGTCAAGTGGTAATAAAAGTGCTACACCGGATAAAAACAAAAAAGTTGAGTTAGCAATTATCGAGGCATTAAATCGAGTAAATGCTCCAGTAACGGTGCTTTCATCTGCTCAATTAATCCGGTCTGCATTACAATATCGAAACTACTGATGAAGTTGCCATTGAAGGAGAGGACCTCAATGGAAATCCAACTATTTAGTAAAGTATATGAAAGAGCTTCGCTTTAATAATGTATTTTTGGATTTTTAAATAAAACATTTTTTTTATTTTAGTTTTCAATTTTTAAAATTGTTCAACAATTTATTATTTATCCCACTGGAAAGAAACTGCACCATCAAACAAAAAATGAGAAATTAACATATTTCTCAAATCATCTGCATTTTTCCCATACATATTACTTCCAACTCGACTAATTTGTGAAAAAATTTGTACATTATCTGTTCTCCATTATGAGGCAACTCCATTTTCTCAACAAGCAGAACTTTTTATAAAGAATGACTTTTGGTAGTAAAATGAATAAAAAAATTTTCCCCTTGGAGACCCCATCCATGGACACTGTATATGGGAAAGAGTGTAAAATAATTAAATTATATTTGCCCTGTGCATTGTCATAAAGCTACTTCAACTATAATCGTAGAAGTTGAAAAAGAAACATATATAGTAACACATCCTTGGGTTTTGGTTCCTGCCCTTCAAAAACATTCCAATTTCCGAAAGAGCATATGAAGCTCCTGGGGCTCATAAAATCAAAATTCCATGTAATCATAAATGAATTAGTAATAACGAAGAATTGATACCAACTAGATTCCCATGCTTAGAACATTAATAAAAAACCAAAAATAATACACATCATACTAGCGGCTTGTTCAAAACTTAAATCATTTGTTCTTAATCCAAGCACTCCTAGCCCTCCGCAATATCTTAACCTTTCAGAATTTTTTAATAAAAATTGGACATTAGACATACCTTACTTAAACCTAACTAATACACAAGACGATATATGAACACTGCAGGATAATTTAATAAATTAAATAAGAAATACAGTTACTCACAGATACAGCTTACAGATACAATTTTCCTTACATGAAATTCAGTATTGTCAAAACATTAATTTTATGTTTTTGTTATTTTTCAGATTAGCTGTCTCTTCAGAATCTCAGAAAACATTTTGAACTGAGAAAGAATTCCATCTTTAATATGTTTTTGGAAAACTGTAGACATAATTTCCATTTCCAGCTGGGAACAGAATACTAAAAAACAAATAAATTGTTTACGGAATGAATCAGCAAATTATTAAATACCTTATTCAGGTTTTCTCAAATGATCGCTTTTTTGAATTAATGAATACTCAACTTTTCAATTGTTCTACGGTTCTATTCCTTAAACACCCATTACACATAATTGCATTTGCACATTCTTTTCGGGTAGGTATATTTTTTTATTAGACAAATGTGAAGAAAATACAGTAGAAGCAACTTCTACCCGCATTGTCCCACGATGTCTTCTTGATTTAATAGTTCCAACTGAAGAGACTGCAATTTGAATGATATAAACTTTAACATTTTTTTTACAGCCGGAACGGCTCCATTGGAGCCGATTAAAACGTTGTACGAACTTCAGATTTTATTCATTGTAATAAAAAAAATTGAATTTTATTTTATGCTCGTGACGTCATCGTGTGCAGTGCTATGATATTATTGTCAGTTTTTTAAAAGACAATACCATTTTTTCATAGTACCAAACAAAAGGCGAATTTTTTTTACGGATGTGAGCTAAATTTCGTGGCCTGTTACCTAATGTTTTAGAGAAATAACTGTTACAAATATTGATATCAATTTGAAAAATTAGTGATGATGTCATAGCTCTGCACATTGTGATGTTACGAACCTAATATAAACGTAAAAAGACTAATTATTTTTTAAATATTTAATTTTTACTCCAATTAGTAATACTAAGATACACTTCTTCGTACCACATCTTTGTCTACTGTAAGGTTTCATCACAGCTGTTGTTCCAAGAATCTTTGTTGGAACTTTGGTCAGTATATAATGGGAAATGTATCTAAATTTGGTTGTTGCTGTGGCATTGGCGGAGATGGATTATTGTAAGTTCCTAATTGTGCATAATGTAAAATTTGCTTAATATGGTATTGAGCCATAATTTGGGCATGTGGAGTAGACAGCTTCCTCAATTTGCAGGCCACATGTTCACCGTAAATTGAATATACACCCCTTTCGTGGATATTAGTTTGCATCACCATCATAACGTTATAGGCTTTAGCAGCAATGTTTTCATTTTGTCATTTTTCTTGCTGTTTGTGATATATTCGAAACTTCACTTTTTTCGTGGCAATTGTTTGGTTTGGAGTTTTCAGTACTATCACTTTCTGTTACCGCAGAAGCTTCTCCATTAACCTAAAACAAATTTAATTGTTTAACGATAAAGCTTGTTTCTACCATAAGATTTTTCCCCACTCCTGTTGTTCCAAGAATCTTTGTTGTCTAAAATACAAAGAAATTGTAAAATACTATTATGTAGTTTCGTATAATATTTGAAAAATAAGTTACCTCTAACATTTTGATTAGCTTCTGTTTCACTTTGAATTTCGCTGTTTACACTATTATTTTCAGTTCCTATTGTTTCTGAAAAAAAATCATCAATAGTAATTTTATTATTATTCATTAATTATAGAAAAAATTACCATTTTAATGGCTAACACCCATTTCAAGCAACTGTGACGCCTGCTGCTGTTTCTCTAACTGGAATTTCCAGCCGATAATGGCCCAGGTGAATATCTGTATGATGTCCCATAGAATTCGTTAAATCATTAACGTGTAGATCATTTAAATTACGAGTAGCAGATTCAGTTGCAAGATGTATTCCAAGCTGTGTCCTCCTTAAAAAATGGGAATTTTCAACATTACTTCTTTCGGAAAGTTTTCGTATCAAAGCACTTAGATGATTATTCGTAAGCGAACCACTTGGAATCCCAATTACGTTTAGGTTGGATTCTAATACATCTGCTCTTTTTTGATTGTCTAAAGCCAAGAGGACATAATCCAACATATCGTTAGATAATAGAACCGGAACTTTCCTATTTTTTTTTACCACGTATTACAAATCTGTAATAATTGTTTCCATATTCATTAATGTATGGTTGATGTGTTAAAAAATCCTCAGTAAACATTCTTTTAACTTCTCCTGCTCTCTTTCTATTAAATATTTGAATTACAGTTAATAAGAACGAACACAGATCTTTCCAGACTACTGCGGAAAATGCACCCTTAGTGATCGGTAATAATATTTCATGTTTTCCTCCTTAAAATCATACAACTTCAATAGTGGAAGGAAGTCCTAAGTCCTTCTTCGTTATTGAAGAAGCTGAGTCTCACTTACTGTTTTCAAAACAGAAGTTGCCAAATCTTCCTTAAAAACATTTAAAAAAGTTTTAACTTCTTCCATCTTAGAATTTTATTTATGTACATTGGTATTAATTTTTCACCACACTTTTTTAAAGTAGTACCAAGATTCGCTGCAATAGCTGGAGATTTATACTGCTGCGTTTCATTTTTAAGTTCAGCGATCTGATGAATTGACATTATGACAAAATCCGTTTTCTCTGGGTCAAAAACACACATTAGCTTATTTATCGAAGTGTTTATGACTTTTATTGTAAATAGAAACCTTCCAAGGAGCCATAGTTTTGCTCGGACCATTTTAAATAAATTGTCCAATCTATATTTGGAGCAAAGAGAATTTCCAAATTGTATTGCCAGTTCATTATATCTGATGATATTGCTTATATTATCGTCTTTCATGACCGGAAATATTTTGTCTTTTAACACGCTGCAAGCATCTTTATGGACAAGGTCCTCACTTCTTTTTCCCATTATGCCTAAAGTCCTGTTTCCTTTTTGGCTTGAAGGTATGCATTTTTTAGGTTTCCTTATCGAGTTTATTGAGGACATTCATTAGCAATGAGGACAAATTCTATAATCATTAGCAGTTTTATTAAGTTTAGTTCTTCCAGTAACTATAATGTGACCAGTAATGTTTTCGTATATCATCTTAACATTTTTTCCGTGATTCAGAACCTACAAATAACAAATTATTTATTACAAACTATTAGTTGACGTATTTCTATAAAGCGAATTTAAAAAAAAAATCTAAATTAGACTTAAAATATCACGCATGTCGGATTATTCTCAATTATTCTTCTTTTTTAAATGACAGTTTGGATATCGTTCAAAGACGTAGGTATGACTCGTATCTCTGTCTTTGTCGATTATGGTTTATTTTAGAAACATTTTTTTTTTTTTGAGGATCGCACTTTATAAGTACAAGGTTAGAAGATTATATTGTGCCCACCGTGACGTCGAGTCTTTAATTATAAAATGCCACGTACATACCCAGCTCTATTTAGAAAATATATATAAATAGCTTATACAGTATGTCGGAAAATAAATGCAGGCGTTAAAGCAAAAAAATATTTAAATTTTATTTTTATGATTTACGACTAAAACCAAGATGTAAACACAATTTTATAGGAATAAACTATATAGGTGGGGAATGAAAGGGGAACTGCGCTATTCTAAACAAAAACTTCTTTTGTGTCACTTATTTTATTCAGAGGACCTTTGAAATCAATTTTCATAAAAAAATATTCTAGCATTTAGTTAAGAAAACTAGCCTAAAATTAATTTAATTTGCTTGTTAGAAAAAAAATGTAGTTAGTGATTTTGCGCAATTGTCAACACCGCTGAGGTAATAGCGATCATTAGTTTTAAGGTATTTGTAATTTATTGAACAAATAAACAAATTAACCAATAAATTCAAAATAAGCTCGTCAAAATGCGATTAGTTATAGTGAACAACTACATAATATCAAGTAATAGATACAAAAAGCTTAACTACTATTAAAAACGAAAAATAAAAAGCCCTTCACAGTTATCACACACATAACCCTCAGCTGTATTAGCTGTTATGCGGGCACTCATCCTCCGCAAATACGCACCGGAAACACAATTCTAGATCTCCACTGAACTCGCCACAAAGGAGAAGTTTCCATATCGATACAAAGAAACAATAAAACCCACGATTATTATGTCCAAATACAACGCCAACTGTTATAACAAAAAAAATAGGTGCTACTTGGTAATTTGGACTCCAGAAGAGGTTATAACAGTGACAAGCTTTAACCCTTCAACGATGAGATTAATTTTTTTAATGTAGAAATGATAAAACTTATTGTACCCACGATTATTATGTCCAAATACAACGCCAACTGTTATAACAAAAAAAAAAAATAGGTGCTACTTGGTAATTTGGACTCGAGAAGAGGTTATAACAGTGACAAGCTTTAACCCTTCAACGACGAAATTAACTTTTTTAATGTAGAAATGATAAAACTCATTGTAGGTATCAAAAATAGTTTATTATTAAGGTATTTATACATTAAAAAAAATGATATCTTTAGATGGTGGTTTAAAGCTTAAATTGAACTTCGTATTAAAAACATGGTAGTAAAATTTTTTATTACATGGAAGGATATTTTCTGACATGCATTTTTCTCTGTATAAGTCATACATTTTAGTTATCGTCAATTCTTCATTTAAATATTTCCGGCCAGGGTTATCTTTCCTAGTGTAATGGCTTTGGTAGGCTGGAAAAGAGTTGATATGTTCAATGATTTTTGAATCATCTATTTTCTTTCTTGGATTCATTCCTCGTGAATCTATTACTGACGCTACTTCATCTTTTGAAATACAGCGATATAATCTACCGACACTAATTTGTAATGTATCTACAAAATATTTCTTACATACAAGCATCGTTTCATTTTCTACCCGAAAGCTGTACTTAAAAGACGTTTGCTTTGCTGCCCCTGCACCACTTCTTATTCGTCTTCGTGCATTTTTTTTGCTGTTACCAAACCCCGTATAAATACATTTTGACGCGAATAGTCACCTAGTTTCCAAAAGGATTCAAACATTATCTTGCGCTGATCTTCTTGAATTTTATTGCTGCAATTTTGTTTGCAATTACATGCTTTGTCTTGGAAGGTTTTTGAAGGTACCAGTCTTCCCGAAGAAGAAATATATTCTTCACCACAATTTCTTCTACGTTTTTTTATATTTGTCTTCCAATTATTTTTATTTAGACTTCGCTTTCTAGTTTTTTTAGAAATATCTGTCGCTACATTTTGTTGTGTTATGATGTCTAAAACAATGTTCTGTTCAATGGGGTCAATATTCTGTGTGGGAACAGCTTCATGGCCTATAACAAAAAACACAACTAAAACTTTTGATCAAACCCCGTAGGCGCGCCATAAGAGAACAACACTTAAACATTAGTATCGAAAACATAACCTCAATTATAGGAAGTAATGGTAAAAATAAAAAACCATACCTTCAACTTCGCTGATATCAGACCCCTCAGAAGGTTCGTAATCTGATTCACTTTCTTGAAATGGTTCAGACTCTGATCCACTGTCATCCATTTTAAAAAACAAGGATTAATTTCTAAGCAAATGCACTTAACTTGTAAACACTGAGACCGCTTTTACGAATACGAGGTTTATCCACTAGTTTATATTAAAAAATAGTAAACAATAGTGAATTTTATGGACTTGATCCATTTCATTTCTGAAACGAATAAAGTATTCAGAAACCAAATGGAAATCGACTCTAGCCGCTTAATACATGAAGTGTGACTTCATTCATTTCTCTACTGAAATAAACAACATTTTATGTACCTGTAAAGGCGATTATTTCAAAAAAGTTGAAAATTGGACTTGATCCATTTTTCTTCTGAACCATCCATATAAGTAACGTTAGCCGTTGAAGGGTTAAAGAAGACTTCTCGGAAAATTGCAAAATAATAAAATATTTTTTTCATAATCATTATGTTCCTTTTATTTTAAGGGAAAAATATGTAACACAATAAGTTTTTATTAGTACTTAAATTCTTTTTATTATTTTAATTTTGTATATTTTGTCCATTTTCAGTATTTTAGTTAAGATGTGCCTACTTATTTTTTTTTATATTTTGGATTTTTTATATTAAAGATTAATTATTTCTTTTTAATAATATTAAAGCGGTTTTATTGCTAACCTGTTTAATTAGCGATCAGAGTGTGAGGGTTGCAATCTTAAGATAATGTTGATATTAGCTATTTTTATGAGCCCTAATGTGTCAAGAGCAGCTATACTCCAAGCAGGCTTATTAAATGTAGTAACTTGTTTATACAGGATGTTCCTTAATGATATGGGAATATTTAAGGGTTGAATGTACATAAAAAATTAATGTTTCGTTACGAAAATACGGGGTTCTTAAATTTTAGGAGAAAAAAAAAATGAATTAATATTTTCGTAAGAATTTAAAATATTTCAGTGATGGTTAATTATGGTGCATATTAAAAATAAAAATGATAAGCTAATAGTTTTTTCCAAAATACATTTTAATTCCCCATTAAATTTTAATCTTAAATGACGTCTTGAGTTGTTTTCCTACATTGCTCCATTTTTGAGTAAAAAAACAAAAATTATATTATCCGTTAAAATTAATGTAATTATTAAAGAATGCAAAAAATGTACATTTTGACCATCGTTCAAAGTAAACTATCATTAATTTTTTTCATAATAATAAACCTTTATTGACAAAAAATAGAAATACAACCAAAATTTTCAAATACATAAATAATATTTGAAATAAACAATAGTATGTATAATTAATAATATTTAAATATACTATACATTAACAATATATGCAGCCAATTTATATAAAAAGTATAAAAAAAATATATTAATAATAAAAATTAAAATACTAGGACTTTATTTGCAAAATATATGTACATACAATATAAACATTTATAAACCATACATAAAAACTATTCATCCACTATAAAATTTTTCAATTCAGCTATTAGAGGGTATTGCATATTTGTTAAAGCAGCACAAACTTGAAAAATATGGGTTGCATGAGATGCCAAACTGGAAGGTATATTTTCGAGAATTTGATTCGTCTTATTGCCCTTTGTACATGAATTCTAGCTCTTGCAATTGTCCTGGTACACAAAACCTGTTCTTTCGTAAATTGTGCTGTCATTAAAAATGGAGGGATGTTCAAATTTACACTTTCTGCCAACAAATTTGAAATTAGAAACCCCTTATCCCCCAGAATCAATTCTTCAGGTGTCATTTGTTTCATTATACCACAACCTTCAACAATTTTTTGTCTGAATTAGACCTAGCATATAATTCACTGCAATAAGTAATTACCCCGTTTGGTGCTACACCGATCAAACCTTTAAAGGTGTTCATGTGCTTGTAATGACTGTATGTTGATTTTTGGTGCTCCAGTGAGGTTGGTTTTTGTGCCTTTACTTCAGTACAATCTAAAATTATTTGTGAATGTACTGAAAGAACCAGGCATACACATTTGATTTTGAGTCCTTGGTGGAATATCTTTCATTAGTTGACTAAACAAAGTTTCATGCAGAGCTAGAATCCATGTGTATATTATAATATTTGCCACTGTTCCACGACTACAATTAAATCTACATGCTAGATCTGCTGGTAGCAAATTTAATCTTAAGTGTCATCAATAGCTGATCTTTTTTAGTGATAATACTCACAGTCTGTCCATGATGATACTCAATATTAGTATTATTTAATGAGTCAAATACAATATCAAATAAATAAGCATTGAGAATACATGTGTACATTTTAACAAGGCTTTCATCATTTTTAATGTGTTCTAATTTGATTTTGAGTCTTTGGTGGAATATCTTTCATTAGTTGACTAAACAAAATTTCATGCAGAGCTAGAATCCATGTGTATATAATATTTGCCACTGTTCCACGACTACAATTAAATCTACATGCTAGATCTGCAGGTAGCAAATTTAATCTTAAATGTCTTCAATAGCTGATCTTTTTTAGTGATAATACTCACAGTCTATCCATGATGATACTCAATATTAGTATTATTTAATAAGTCAAATACAATATCAAATAAATAAGCATTGGGAATGCCTGTATACATTTTAACAAGGCTTTCATCATTTTTAATGTGTTTTAATTTGATTTTAAGTCCTTGGTGGAATATCTTTCATTAGTTGACTAAACAAAGTTTCATGCAGTGCCAGAATCCATGTGTATATAATATTTGCCACTGTTCCACGACTACAATTGAATGTACATGCTAGATCTTGTAGCAAATTTAATCTTAAGTGTCATCAATAGCTGATCTTTTTTAGTGATAATACTCACAGTCCATCCATGATAATACTCAATATTAGTATTATTTAATAAGTCAAATACAATATCAAATAAATAAGCATTGAGAATACATGTGTACATTTTAACAAGGCTTTCATCATTTTTAATGTGTTCTAATGAAAACCTCATGCCCCTCTTATCCAGTTTATGTTTTAAACCTGTAATCTCTTTCTCCAAAAAATACATTTCAAAATTAATGTTCTGCCACTTGATTGAGAATACATTGACCTTTCGATAATCACTGCTGCAGTATCTGATGTTGATGGCTCACAATCAATGTTTTCTATTGAACCTAGTGGATTACCGATATATCGCCGTTTTCTAAAAAAAAAAAAAATAATAATGTACACCGTCTTTTAGTATGTCTTAATTATGTACAATATATAGATCTTCTAATTATTATGTGTAATATCTGGTTAGAACATTATATAAGTAAAAACCACGAATAACTTACTTTTTGTTCGCTTGCTAAGTTGCGATTGTTGGATGTTCTTGTTTTTCCCCATTCATAAATATTGTAGGAAAGTTTTCCTTGTTTTTATCAATAAAGTGACAGGAACGTATCAATGAATATGCACTGGAAGTTGCATCGGATCGTCTGAAAATATATTGTAGTTTAATATATATGTTTGCTGTACAATAACTTTATTTAAATAAGTTGATGCACTTCCCTCACTAAAACTAACCACTTCTTTGCCAAGTTTTTGTCTTTGGGAAATCTATAAAATTTACAACAATATTTAAAAGAAAATGTACTATTTTCACGTTTCACGACAATTACAATTACAGTATTAGCTCTAGCAGTCCAGTGTCCACTGTTGACATAAACAAAGTCTACAAACAAAACATTTAAATTTTAGACAACTGACAACTTTGACAGTGTTGCCATGGTTGCATTATTTTGTGTAGAAACAGTGACGTCACACTATCACGGTCCATGGGTAAGTAGTCGGATTCGTGATTTTTACAGTGTTAAATTTCCAATTTGGAGTATATCCTTTTTTCAATATATGTTTTGATTTGCTTATTCGAACAGTATCTCCAACGTTAAATTTTCATGAAACGACAATTTTCAAATGACTAACTTTGAAGTATTTTTTTTTTCGTTAGTTTTATTAACCGCAGAGGGTTGTAATCCAATTTTACTATGTTGTGTGGTTGAAGGGGAAAATGTGAAGTCACAATACAAGTTAGCTACAAAATATAACACTGTTTAATAAACTTAAGAGTTAAAGAACGCCATGTATACATAGTATTTTTAACTCTAAAATGTCTATGATCTCATAGAAATGTTGCAGGTATCTAACACTATGTCAGAAAATTTGCTGTCACAACATAGAAATATACCAACCAATTTATGTAAATGAAAATAGGAAGTTTTATTAGTTAGATTAGTAAAGAATAGATAAATGTAATGACAAAAATTGGGTGTCTAACTCCATTTCTTGTCGAAAAATAAAAGATTATGTGATTATGGAACAACATTCAATCTGCTCTACTGAAAAGTTGACTATCTACCTGAGAATATAAAAGGTTTAATTGAACTGCACACTCGATAGATGATTAAAAATTTGCTTACAACTCGAACTGGGCACCAGCAATTAACGCTTGTTTGACCGGTCCCTCGGCGGACGGTCCTGAATCGCAAACCATACCGGCTTAGGTTTACCTAGTGACACTGATGTTGACCCTTTGAAATGGAAACAAATTTATCTATCCAATACTAAAAATTCTGATTAATTTCAAAACTACTTTATTATTACAAGTTCAATAAATAGGTACATTTTTTAAAATATATACAAACTACAATTAAAACTTCAATAATAGGACATAAATATACATAATACATCATTATAAGAAAACTACACACGTTTTATAATACTTTTGATAATATATCTACCTATTGTTTGTAAAAATAACCTAAACATTTTACGAAATTAAATTTCTCGTTTGTATAATTATCTATTTTAAATTTTAAATATTCTTGTTTCTGGTTTTTTTATCCTTATTTTTGCTTTAAACTTTGTAATTTTATGTATGTGTCTATCTGAAAATCATTCAGTTTCTGTATAAAAATTTACAGGGTGACCCAGAGTAGATTTCCCTTTTCAAACAGTTATAAAAGACAAAGCTGTAAAGTCAGAAACAATTTATTAGCAAAACATAAAAGCGTACAAATGTGGATTTATTTTTTAAAAATAATGTTGTCCATATGACG